ATAAGAGAATGTCCATCTCTGTGCTCTCTGGCCCATGGACAGAGACACACAGTTATGGTTTAAGGAACAGATAATGAAAATGAGGTAGAGGCAGAGAGAACATGAAAGATATGCACATGGAGAGGAGTAATGAAAGGTAAGAGAATGAAGAGAGAGAAAGTCAGATGGAAAGGCAAAGACATGAGTGAAAGCCAAACAAGACTGTCAGAGGACAGAGGTAGAGGTTTCATTTGTAGAAGCTGGCAATAAGATCCCAAGCCAAGATCCTGCTTTCTTCTTGCCCTTTGCTACTGGGGGACTCAAGTTCTAAGTCCCAGTCCCCCTCCTGCACCTCCCTGCACTGTGATCATCACAGAGCTGGCTCTACCCTGAAGCCTGAACAGCCCTGCCCTGTGCTTGTCCACATATCTTGGCCTGCACCATCATAGTTACCCAAGTCCATAGGGATTTTTCATTTCGAACACAACTGTTTGAAGTGTAAAAGCATCATGGTGTCAGGCAGTCAGTGCAATAACCAGGGGTAGTTTTATAGTCACTCCCAGTGATGATAATAGCACTTTCATGTATCTCTGGCTGCGACAGGCAATTTTCTTTCAAAGATTGTTTTTTTTTTCTGGAGCCCGGGATTTCTACTCTTGCCTCCATCCTCTGGGATATTAAAACAGGGTCAGTGGCTTGGCAGGCTGACTAATTTCTGGTCATTTCCTAGCTCCTCTTTTCACCCTCCCTTGTTGTCACTTCTCCCATCTTGGCATCCCTCTACTTCTGCACCCCATCTAGTTAGGCTACAGGGAAATGGCTTCTGTGGCCCTCCCTACTGAGTAGTATTGTCATGTGTCTAACCTGAAGAGTAGAAGCTGAGTGGGGTGCAGCTGAAGATCCAAGAGAGGATTCACCTTCTAAGCCTCACCCCTGTTCTCCGTGGCCCCCACTCCCCCATGCTGTTCTGAGATGGAGCTGTCAGTTCCTTTCCACAAAAATATTTGAGCTTATTTTCCAGGCGGAACATTTTGAAGAAATTGCTGAATTGAACTAATTTAACATTAAGGAATTTTTCTCTGCTAGAGACTGGGGGTGGGGTGAGGCAGCTAGTGTAATGTCTTTTTCTGGAAAATTCAGAAAAATTCCCATATAGATTAAGGGCTGGGTGAGGAGATATCTGGCATATGGGCAAGGGATAGGGCAACCTTTGGATCCCTGCTTCCCTAAAGAGGGACTCTGACTCTGCTCTTGCTGCCCAAAGTAGTATCTTCCATTGTTTGCTGGTGTGGCAGTTGCTGGCCAGCAAAATCGCTTCCCTATTTCACCCAGGTAGGGTTATTCTTAGAAGAAATAACTAAACCTGCTTTGGGGGCTGCCCATTTGAGGAATTTTCTATTCCCTTCCTTGGCCCATGGTCTGATGCCAAAATCCTTTCTTAAGTCTAATTCCTGTTCCTCTTGCTTTGCCAACAGATCAAATCCTCTTGAAAATCAACATGGCTACAGTAGTGAGGGCAGCGGCGACAGCACCTCGGGGTGCCCAGGGCGTGAACCAAAGTCCGGAGTTTTTTTTTTTTTATTCATGAGAGACAGAGAGACAGAGGCAGAGGGAGAAGCAGGCTCCCAAGGAGCAGAGAGCCCGATGCGGGACTCGATCCCAGGACCCCGGGATCATGACC